GTGACTGCGTTCTATCTCCCGTGTTACGCAGTGGTATAGTAATCTGAGCAATATTGAGGTGAGGCATTGATTGAGCGCTAGGTACATCGACTGAGACGCTTAGGACATGTGTTACCTATGTCTAGTCATCGCAATGTTAGTTGACAGAGGGTCAGGCTGGAAAAGAGCTAGCGGTGGACAAACGAAAACATGGTTTCACCAGTCAATGAAATCCACAACAGTTAGTTTAAGCCAGCCAGCGACGTAGGAAGGTGTAGACATCCTGACTGGTTGCGGTTCTCGGGACGGTGAACACCAATGAAGGCGGGAAACAATTTGTGGTGTGGCTGGCTCAGAATCGTTCTCGATAGCTGGCGCAGATGCATCCACTCCTAGTGAATTATAATGCCCAATGAAACTATATTGTTCTTCGTTATTACTATTCTTTTTGTCTCATATCCCTGTCTTCTGTCTCTATTATGCATTTCTTTTTACTTTCTTCTCTTGCTTTGTGTGCTGCATGGAGGGAGTGTGGTGACTTGAACTGCTGCACATCGGTGCAAAGTTCTATGTTGAAAACAGGTAGACAGATAGACACGTGCAAACGCTAGACATTCCCATTCAGCCTTTCATTTTTGTGAGGAACAGCTCTTGCCTCGTGAAGGCGGTGATGAATAGGACTTATCTGGTGCAAGATATGATGTACTTTTCAATTCGGAATTCTAAGAGTGAGGGTATATCACTTGGCGTATTTCTGTATACAAGAGAATATTTCAAATGGAACTTGAGACTAAAAGGCAAAAAAAAAAGCCTTGATCAGTGAGGTGGTTATAAAATTGATAATATAAGGATAAAATTTGGACATTGTGGTAGAGTATAACTCCATTATGACTCATATTTAATGTCTTTAAATTCCAGGGACAAAATATATTTTAAAAAAAACAGGCGTAGCAATAGGATGGATGATCACCAATATCCCCTATCGTAGCAGATGTCTTTATGGACAGCTGGGAAAATATTGCTCTGAATACAACGTTTAATCCTACTCCAAAAATATGCTGGAGATATGTGCGTAACACTTTCACACACGGTGTTATAAACAGAACATATGTCTAGTATCATGACGCTTATAAACTCACTAGTGAATGGAATAAAAATCACATTTGATTCGGAAAATGAACAAACAGAATTAGTTCTAGGGTTAGATTGTAAAATAAAACGAACAGAAGAAGGTAAACTTCACACCAGCGTTTATAAACAGCCAACACATTGTGCTAATAGATATTTATACTTTAATTCATCTCATCTGTTGTCTGTCTATGAAGGCTGGCTTAGTTAAGTGCCTAACAAATTGAGCAATAGCCTAAGTAATACAAGAAAAGACGTAAACGGTGAAATGAAACAGATGGGAGAAGAAGCGTTGGTGTTAAATAACTGACTATCCTATAAAATTCATTGGAAGATCAACTGAGGTCAAAGGCAAAATAAAAATAATGGTAAAAATAATAATAACATAAGTAAGAAAGAATATAAGGCATCTACAATTTTACCGTGTAAGGAGGGGACATCTGAGACCCTATAGGGGATTCTCAATGAAGCAAGAATTAGAGTGGCATTTCAACCTACAAACTCACTCAGATTGGACAAGCTCTGTAGGCTAAAAGACCCAGTCGGTTTAGCCAATTAAACAAAATAATATAATTTACAAAATACCTTGCAATCACTATGAGTTAGGCCAACTACATAGGTCATACTGGTAGATCAGGAGTAGTGAGATTGTCTGTCAGAAGATAAGAATTTAGCTAAGGTTAAAATGATTGATCCCATGACGATAAGTAGTTAAGAAGAAAATTCTCAGCAATTGCACTGCATGCATTAACACACAACCACCAATAGCGTGGGTGGGACAGAGTCAAATTCTAAGAAGTAATCTATGTAGGTGGAGAGAGAGATTGATTACTGAATCCTGTCTGGTTCATCGAGTCTACACGCAACACAACACATGCAACAGAAGTGCCTCAACGCAAATTCCAGTGAAATGGAAGATATTATTACCGCCAGTCAAATCTGAGGAGGATAATAAATAATCTCAAAATTCTATTTCAATTTAATTCACATACATCATAACATTCTAACAAGTTACTTATTTATTTTGACTATAAAAACACTCGTCTTATTTCCTATCTGATTGTATTTGATCAGTAACACTCATATTATTATTATTATTTCTGAATGTACATTATCCTATATTGATTTTTATTCAAATGTCTAATCACCAATTTTCACTCATATATATAAATGAAGTGACTTGGTATGATTATGAGTGGCGATAAATTGTGCTCGAAACGTGGTCATCAGTTAATATTACTGTATTACACTGTGTGATTTATTCAAATAAAATTTTATCCATAATGGGGTTATAAAATTGATGTTTTAAAATCACTTATGGTAATAATTATCGTTCAGGTTAGTTCCACTATGGAGTGCCCTACGTCTTTATCCACCTCATTCAATAACACCATATGAAAGTGCCATATGTTAACTAATTCATTCGCAATGGGAAACTCACTGAAGCCTTAGACGTGAATACTAATAATATCCCTAATTGTGGTGGATCGGATTATACCGCACACCTTGCAGTGTGGAGTGAGAAGACAGGCATACGTTGGATCTATAAAGAGACTAGAAGATCTGAACTTTGAGTGTCATACAAACTTGAAGATATACAGGCGAAAACCCGACAAGTTTGTAGAACAGGCAGGCATTGAAGACAAGACTTCAAGTGAACATAGAACAACATTATACGACGGTACCTACCTACCTGTTTCACCGGCCCTTCACTACTTAAATGAGAACACATAACGATGTCAGCCATAGAGTATATTTTCCGCAACAACGTATGATACAAAACATCACCAAGGTTATATGTCAATTAGTCTGTAATCATGATTGATCAATCAATTTTATGGGCGTTATTTTACGTAGACCAATTCTGATTGGTTTATTTCCAACTGGGTATCGATCACTTATGTGGGCCAAATTTTGATTGGCTAATTTCCAGGCTGGATGTCGACCACCGTATCCGAATCAAAAGTAGAGATTGATTGACACACACACATACCTGTATCATATCAGTAAATATTACTGTATAACGAACACTGTGAGACTTTATCAAAATAAATTTTACCCATAATGGAATTATACTCTACCATCACAGTGCACTACTTTTATTCTTATATCAGTGACACATACCTGATTGTCTCAACTTCTTAAAATAGTAGGTTAGATGGGAGATTTTCTTAGAAATCGAAAAAATATTGGATGATCGACCAAGAAAGGCGAGAGGATAGGGAACTATTCCAATGATATTTTATGCTTGGCTTAGTTTCTATTTTGTTTCTATCTCTAAAACCAATTTGTCAACCTTAAGACTTTCTCAAATAAATAAAGAATGAGGCATTCATCCTTACCTAATTGATTTAGGCTGATTGACTTTGTTAGTAGTGAAAAAATGTCTAAACGCTAAACTTGTCTACAGAATTTATCAATGCAGACTTTGTCTTATTATTACTAATATTATTATTATTATTTCGTTATTGACTACTATAAAAAAATGATATTCTTAATTGTGGACGACTGGATTATACATCAGAATGTGCATGAGAGCGAGGAGTCAGGAATACGCTAGACGACAGATAAGATGACTCAAGAAGATCTGGATTTTGCTCGTGGATGGTTTATGCCTAGCGTCATAGGTGAAAACTAACAAACTGGCTGAAGAAGGCGGCAGCGAAGACTGAACACCAGGTGAACATAGAGAAGACGGACAGAGGTGATGGAGATAATCAACGAACCACCACCACAACAACCAACACCAGAGGTTACCTCCAGTATCGTTTCAACTACAGGCGGAACGCATGAAGATGTCAAAGCTAGTCAGAATCGGAAAGGCAAGATACACACGCCTTCACCAACCTGAAAGCAGTTTGCAAATCTTCTCCACTGCACTCAGCCAGCATAAAGAACAAGATGCGGATTTTCAACACCAGTGTCAAGTTGGTTCTTCTATACTGGTCAGAAACTGGGCCAGAGTGTCACGAAAAGGATTTCTGAAAGGTTGCAGACTTTTGCCAACAGCTGCCCATCTTGCTGGCTTCATACCGAAGGTCAACCAGCCAGCTGACCGGCGAGAAAGAATTAGCAGGAAGAAACTCTGGGTGGGAACAATCCAACAGGCGAGAGCCGATTGCTCAAAAATATGTAGGAGAAAGTGGAGATGGATTCAATCGGGCATACATTGAGTCTGTCTGTCTGAGTTCAACATAGAACTTGGAACCGAAGTGCAGCAGTTCGAGTTGCCACGTTCCAAATAGCACACAAAGGTAGACAAGAAAATGATTGAAGAGAATCAATAGAGTTTTGACAAGTATAAGAGTGAAACAGAATGAGTAATGGTAGAAAGGAATATGAAAGATTACACAAGAAACTGAATACATCTGCGTAAGCCATTGACAACGATTTTGAGCCATGTCACCTATTGTCTCCAGCCATTGATTCTTAAAGTCCCGAGGGCGGGCCCAAACCCGGAAGTCTGCATCTCCCTACCTGGCTCAGTTTAACTGTCAGGGATTTCATGGATTGATGCCATATTTTTGTTTGGCCACCACTTACTCTTTTCCAACCTGCACCTATACATTGAGGAGACCGTCGAATGACATCGCGCGCAATGCAGGCCAGCTCTCGAGTGGAATCCCAATAGGAAGCGACAAGTAAGTGCTCGGTGCGAGCGAAGGTGACACGGAGGAGATCGTGTGAGTTGGAGGAAGAGATGAGAGAGTTTGGTCAATCGAGGACCCAGCTGAAGAGGATGGCAGCAGAGTATAGAAGAAAGTGGAGATGTGTTTTTGAAGCCGTATGTTCCACTCGGAACCCACGGGAACAATTATAATAATACTACTACTATAAAACACTAGTGTGCATTTCATTCACCTGTTTTTCTGTTCTTTACCTTTTTTCTCTAGGTAGCATTATGGCATCAAAAAGCTGGTGCAGCTAATCTCCACTTTTTCCCAGTACCATGTTTTCCATTCAATCAATCGGATAATGACTTTTTATCGGATAAAGATCCCCTGCGTAAACCAATATTTCTACCGATCAATATAAATGTATTGATTGAAACAGTTGAGACAATTTATTCCACTGAGAAGAATACTCATCAACATCATCAGAATAACAATTTATCATTAAAATGTAAAGCTAAAGGGGTTAACAGCTGCTCAGATATGAATTTGATCGATATATTAGAATATTTATTCCCTGGTAAGTTCTTTGCTTGTTCGCTCGCTCACTGACATGATTTATTATACCTAATATTTGACCTTTTCGATAAGAAGTCTCACTTTCTTTGTTGTTGTGAATATCAATTCTTACTTATTACATGTTCTGTATGTGCAGACGAACAGTTGTCACTTGTCAGTCATTCATAATGACTGCTAAGGACATAAACCATGGTGATTACAGAGAAATGATTATGGGGTTAGCAGTTGGATCTTGTATCACAAGTAGCAGAGCGTCGGCTTGGTTTTAGTAATAATAAACCAAACCTAGCTTGGGACTCTTCAGCAGTACTCATCCACCACCAGGGTTCGAAACCACGACCTTCTGTTTACAAGGCGAGCTAGCTCGTAGACCATTGAGCCATTGGGACCCGATCCAATGGCCAGTGCATGAATTCTAACTTCTACCGTAACACGATGAAACAGCTGTTCAGTACTCCCAGGTTTTCAAGTAGTTCTCTAACTGATGTCAGCTCATGATGAAATCCTTCAACCACCCAATCAAACAAAAAAAATCCCTATAAAACCAATACTTGAAAATTAATCTGATGCTCACTAGCGACTTGCCCTATTCAAGCTGTTACCTGGGTTTCTAGTGGGAAGCCGCGACAAGAATGGTGCAGCAGGTTGAAGACATTGCTAAGTGGTCACGCTATGTCGTGCGTGAATTGGCAGAAGTTAGAATTCATGGATTGACCATTGGTTCGGATCCCAGTGATTCAATGGTCTACGAGCTCGCCTTGTAACCAGAAGGTCGTGGGTTCGAACCCCAGTGGGGTGGGTGCATACTGATGAAGAGTCTCCAAATAATAATAATAAAACAAGTGTTTTTACATAAAGTACAGAATTTTCAGCGTAGCTTATTGCGCGACATTTTCTCTTCTCCCAGGATTTTCAAATAAATTGCTAAATGTGTGACAGTAGATCGTGTGTGTGTGTGACACAATGCTGTCTGACCACTTGATGCGTAAAACTTCGACACAACAGCTGGATGAAAGCCAATTATAAAAAGTTCAGGAGTACATTTTGAGACCCAGGGATATAAGTTGGGAACAGTTGTTTCATGTCCGACTGACTGACTGACTGGTTTTAACATAGAACTCTGCACAGAAGTGCACCAGTTCGAGTTGCCACACTCCATGTACCGCACAAAGGTAGACAAAATACGGAGAGACAGAAAGAGATTCGGAAGAACGACAATAAGCAGAAATGTAAGGAGGAGAGAATAGTACCATAGAAACAACGATAGGGTTCTATTGCATATGACAGATCACAAAGAGTCAATGCATCCGCGCCATCAATGAGGGCAATTTTGATCCATATTGATCCTTAGAATCCTGGTGACGCCAACCAGGAAGTCTACACCTCGCTACATCGCTCAAACTAACTGTTAACGATTTCATGGAGTGATTCCATGTTTTCGTTTGACCACCTCTGCCTCTTTTCTAACCCAATCCTATGTCAGTTAATACTGACCGTCGAGGTAGACGATCGGTGGCTAGGCATGCGTAACACGCGGCCCTCCTTTCCCTCCTTACCTAACACTCGATCACAGTCTACCCTCAATATTACTCACCCTATTATACCAACTAATATGGGAGATAGAATGCAGACACCTATGATCAAACACAGATAGCCAGGCATTTGATGTTTTTGACTTTCACTGGTGATATTTCACTCACAGTCATAAAGAAGGATGAAGCAGTACACGTATCTTTTGACTTATGTCTACGCCAGAGATGATGCACAGGTTGGTAAATGCCACACGAGACTTTTGTACCAACCCGTTGGGATTGGCCCGATACAACTTTCCAAATAAGTGAAGTTGTGGTCAACACGCTGTCTAACACTTCACTCTGCCCCTATCTTTCAGCTGGGAGTCGATATAGTCCAGTCCTGTAGCATCATCTTCCACTTTTAGGTTTTCATCTTGGATGAAGAAGTTATCAGATGGTTGGTCGGTGGATGCACGAGGATGTCAAATCAAGAATCGAGAAGGCAAGAAACACATTCATCAATCTGAAACCAATCTGGAATTCTTCGTCACTCAGCCTGCATCAACAACAAAATTCGGATTTTCAATACAAACGTCAAGTCAGTCAGTTCTTCTATACGGATCAGAAACTTGGCCAGTGTGTCACAAAGAATATTTCCAACAGCCTGTTGCAGACCTTTATCAACAACAACTGTCTTCGCTCTATACTAAAGATCAGATGGCCGGAAAAAACAAGAACCAACAAGAAACTATGGGAACAAACAAAACAAGAACCAATCGCCCAACAAATATGCGGGAGAAAGTGGAGATGGATTGGACACTTGCTGAGGAGACCGCTGGGTGTCATCGCGCGTCAGGCCAATGCTCGAGTGGAACCCGAAGGGGAAGCAATGAGTGGGACGTCCAAGGGTGACATGAAGGAGATGATCGTGTGAAGAGGAGTTGAAACAGTATGGACTAACATGGATGCAGGTGTGAAAAGTACAGCAGAAGACAGAGGCAAGTGGAGATGTGCAGTTGAAGCCCTATTTTCCACTAGGAACCCAAGGGAATAATAATGTAGAAATTGTCTCTGAAGTCCTAACGTCAACTTCTTATTATCTATTATCGTTGTATTAAGTTACCACCTCTACAATATATAATAATAGCGTACAGTTCATAATTTTCATTATTTAAAATTTCTTTGTTTTATGTAATAATAATAGATATCCCATACGCGGAACGGTTGACCTGTATTCGTTGCTTTCAAGACTCTATACTTAGAAGGTAATTTCACTTATCTTTGTATAGATTATGCAACTCTTTTTTTTCTTTCTAATCACAGAAATAATATGCATATTAGATTATAGGAAATATTTTTTAAAAAAAAAGACGATTGCAGCAAAAGAGAAAATGCTTCTTTCCGACGGAATCATCAACTAGCTGTGTAGCTGTGTACATCTGTGCTATTTGTAGTAAGTAAATGTGTGAGAAAGTTCCACAACTATTTCTGGTCAAGGGTGAAATTAATGAGATTGGAAATAGGGATTAGAATGTAATAATATTCTATAGTTGTGCGTCGCCGACCACGAATGTGGTCCGGGGTTCAATCCTCGGCCACCGACGCGCTCCTTTACCTCGCTCACTAAGCCAGTAATAAAACTGATAAAGAGGGAAGCTTGGGCATGAGGCTGGCTGGCAACCCTATCCTGTACAAATAAACACCAGTGCTATAGAAACTTCAGGTCTCTAGCTTGAAGTAGCCCTATGTTCCAATCAAGTAGCACTATGTTTTTTTTATTTCTTTATTTTTTTTATGTTCCACTGGGAACGTAAAGGAATAAAAAAATATTCTATAGCTGGTTTGTTAGGATTAGTTTTGTTTTTACGAGTTTGACCACGGATTGATATCATTTAGAGAACCATTGAAAACCAGGGAGTATTGCCAGACAGCTGTTTCATCCCACTAGTTTACAAACATCAGCAGTCAGCAACCACCACCACGGTTCGAACTCAAGACATTCCGGTGACAAAGCAAGCTTGTTCGTATACCATTTACCCACTGGGACCCGATTCAGTGATCAACACATGAATTCTAACTTCTACCAATTCGTGATTTAGCGTGACTAGCGCACCAACCAATGTCATCGGTGGGATATCCATCCTCACAATTGACATCTGAACGGACCTCACTGGTCACGACTTCTCACTAGAACTGACTCCAGGATACTCCGTTCTGTAGCAAGTCACTAACCGGGCATCAGACTAATTTTCTCTAGTTATTTTGTGAGGATTGGTTTGGTTTTTACAAGGACCCCATTAACTGTAGTTTATAACTTCTCTTTTAGATTGTTCAACTTCAATGTTTTTTCCTCTCTCTCTCTCACTTATTTCTAATTACAGATTTGGTTTTATTAGTGATAATTGTGATAAAGATCGTTTAAATTATGAATTACACGGTCGGCGGGCTTTCATCTCATGTAATTCACCAAAACAATGGATCTATGTACACTGTAGTGGTGGTATATTTACTATGATACCATTATATGACAATTTTGATGAAAAACTACAATCTGACGAGACTATCATTGATAATACTGACATCTTGGAAACTTCAAATGGTCATAATACTGAAGTAAGCCTGATGTTTTTTTTTTGTAATTTGTTCTACTAGAGTATTCATCAGTTAAGCATATATCATGTGACTACTACCAGAACTGACTCATTTGGGGGTCTAAATACAGGAAAAACGATCTCTGCTACCTACAGTATATATGTATATAGCTGACTAAAGCTTCCTTGAGAGATACATACACGTCCAGACACGAAACGCTCCAAAGGCCACCAAAATAACGAGTATACATCGATAAGTTTATGTGGTTCTATCTAACAGCAGTAATAAATTTTAAGGGTTGATTTGTAAGGATTAGATTTGCTTTTTTTCGAATGTGACGACAGATTGATACCACAGTGAGAGAATCACCCACAGGGAGTACTGCTAGACAGCTGTTTCGTCCTAGTTTGAGACTCATCGACAGTACTCCAGTACTCACCCACTGGGGTTCGAATCCAGGACCTTCCGGTCACATCTCAAGAAACTTGAAAATCCCCATTCAGTCATATAAAAGCACGATCCTTGAACATTTGATCGAATCTGGACACCAAGTCAAACCACAAATAAACTTCAAAGTTATCTACAGAATACAAGGCAATCTTGCTAAAAGTATATGGATCAAACTTCTCCACATCGCAGAAGCAATGGCAATTCATCTGCTAAATCCTGAACTCTGCATACAAAAGAAATTTGTTCATTCATTAAAAAATCTACAATGGACGTAATCTTTCTTAATTTCAATCTTACTAATTGTATTATTTTGTCTTTTGCATTTTATTATTTCACATCTTCATTTGTATTATTCTCTACTCTACCCTTTTGTAATCTCTACCCTTATTAACAATATTGCTAACTCACTCGACCCACGTCCAATTTCTAGTCAACTATATTACGTCATCCGATTAACTTACTTAATTTTCAACTGTATTATTCTCTACCCCCACCCTTATTTAATTTTAACCACCACACATTAGCAGTGTTACCAACCTGACCTACTCTGAATTCTACTCAATTGTATTACGTCATCCATTTCACTTAATCAATTTTATTTTATTTTCTATCTAATTAACCTTTGTTTCCAAGCCAAATAATACTTATATTATGTAATTATTTAAACTTTATAAATCTAATGTACACACACACAAACAAAATTGTATATAAATGCGATTGTACAGCTAAGTGAATGAATTCGCCGAAAAGAGTCTCTTCGCTGAACGACATCTCAAGAAGTTAGACTTCATTGGCCATTGAATCGGATATCACTGGCTGAATGGTATACAAGCTTGCTTGCTTGACTTGTAACGCGAAGCTTGTGGGTTCGAACCCTGGTGGTGGGTGCCGTACTGCTGAAGATTCCTAAACTACTGGGATGAAACAGCTGTCTAGCACTACTCCCTGTGGTTGGTTTTTATTGATTCTCTCACAAATCAAAGCTCCTCATGTATAGTGATTTGTTAGAATCAGCTTGATTCATGGCTCAAACAAAGTTGCAGTGTTAAACACAACCACAAAGAGAAGTATTCACATTGGAGATTAAACAGGTGGAGGGATAAAGACAAACACTAGCAAGTATGAAGTCAACATATGATGTGCAAATATTTCAGAACAACATTATTGAGTTTGAGAGAAGGAAGTGTAATAATTACAAAGTTAGTGGAGACACCGAAATAAGTGCGTCGGTGGCACAGCGGTTATTTATTTATTTTATTTTTATTTTTGATTACAGCTTGATGCCACACCGTATTTTCAGTACAAGTATGGAATTTTCAGCATGTGATATCGGTAGCCCAAATTTTGCAGGCCGACCATAGATATCGGGTGTGCGTCGGCAGTGGATCGAACTCCGGACCATGTGCATGGTCGGCGAGAGTCCTAACCACTGTGCCACCGACGCACAGGACTCTCGCCAACCATGCAAATGGTCCGGGGTTCGATCCTCAGCCGACGCACACCATCTGATGTCAATTGGTCGGCCTGAAAAATTTGAGCTACCGATATCACATGCTGAAAATTCCATACTTGTACTAAAAATACGGTGTGGAATCAAACTATAGTCAAAAGTAAAAATTATGTGATAAGATGGTTGAGGAAGGATTTTCCAAACACAATTATTCCACGTCACATCATGATTACTTTCTAAATATCTGCTGATTAGTTGTCAATCCTCTATGCATCGCTCTCGAACAGTGCCATTTTAGCTAAATCGGCAGACTGACTGGTTGATTTCAACGTAGAACAACTTTGCTCAGATGTACAGCAGTTCGAGTTTATCAAACTTCCTCCTTGTAATAAGCAAGAGAAGAGAGTTAAGAGAGAGGGAAAAATATTAGTAATATGGAAGAAGAATAGAATTTTATTGGATATTATAAATCACAAAAAGTGAATGCATCTGCACCAGCCATTCACACTGATTTTGAGCCATATCACCTATTGTCTCCAGCCTTCATTGGTGTTTACCATCCCTAGGACACCAACCAGACAGAGGTGTACACCTCCCTGCGTTGCTGGCTGGCTAGCTCAAACTAACTGTTGTGGATTTCATTAAATGACGAAGTCATGTTTTGGTTTGACTACCACCAGCTCTTTTCCAGCCTGATTGATCATATGTCAGCTAACATTGCCCACTGTCGAGGAAGGCGATGGCTAGGTTAGCATGCGTAACACATGTCCTAACCATCCCAGTCAATGTAATTTCACTGCCTCATTGATAGATTTTCCCTCCTTACCTAGCACTCGATCGACGCCTAACCTCAATATTGCTCACCCTATTACACCACCACGTAACATGGGAGATAGAACGCAGATACGTATGGTCAAAGACAACTAGACAGGCTTTTCATGTCTTCCACTTTCAATGACCATGTCACATAGCCATAAAGGAGGACAGAGCGAAGTGGTGAACAGTACACACGTTGTTTGGTTGACAGGCAGCCGGATGTCATATCTACGCCAGAGGTGGCGTAAGTTAGCTTATGCCAGACAATTGAGCTAAATTACTTGCAAAACAAATGTGTGGAAAGAAGGCCAAACGATCTTGACGCTCGAACGCTTTTCATTTGCTTTAGTAATCAACAAATTTCCTCGAGTTGTCAACTTATCACCACTGAAGTTGATTTCAGTTAACCATCTCACATGTTAATGAAATCCACTAAGGTACACTAATACGTGGGGTGTACCACATTTGTCCCAAAGTAGCCTTTTTCGGCTTTTTTAATAAGGGGTTATTGTTGGCATTAGATGCTTACTGACGTGTCTACTCTCTCTCGCTGGTCTTTGACAGTGTGCTCTAGATAAATCTTTCCATTTATAATTCGTTAAGGATCAGTTTTTTTTGACGGAAGCATTTTCTGATTGATATCTATTATAAGTTTAAAGTTTTCTCACGGTTTGATATCACTTAGAGAACTGTTGAAAACCAGCACCGGAGTACAGGACAATTGTTCCGTCCCAATCTGGGACTCCTCAGCATTACTCACCTATGAGCCCACCTACCGCGTGTCGAACCCAAGACTCGCAGGCTACACGGCGAGTTCGTCAACCATTGAACTCTATCCCACTGACTGACTTTTTTTTCAAGATTCTTACAGAAGACAACACCCCAATATGTACTACTCACAAATTATTATTATCAGTAGCATATGTCAGCACTTTTTTAGATGGTGAATTTTCCAACTAAAGTGAGAAGTAAAATTCATATAAACTTTTGATGTATCTTTCTTTCTTCTAACTATTGAAGTATTTAACGCTTCCCTTTAACCGAATCAATTTTTACAGGGAACACCAACAACAACAACAGAGAACATGACTGCTGACAGCTTTAAAGACGATAGGAGGACTCCTACTAGTAGACCAACCGCAACTACAGGCAAAAACGCCACTGAAACACTGTCAGATCGTAGTAACAATTGCTATTTGCTGCAAACATCACTGGGTTACTTTTGGGCATGGAATCATATGCTGCCAAGACGTTGGCGTGGTCATCTTACCGGGGATGAATCATTTCAAGATGGTATGCTGGCTGATTTTAGAGCATTTGTCAATGGAGAAGATAATCGTCTGTCGCAATATTTCAGTCAATTTATAAAGTCGTTAGCCAATTATTAACATTGTGACTGTTGACGCGGCTGCTGCTACGACTACGAGTACTAGTCATTAGGATGAAAATCAATGTACAATAGAGCATAATGATGACGACAGTGATATTGATTAGTTCCACCAAGTTGTTGTACATGACCTCTTTGACAGAAATTTTTGAAGGATTTTGACTAATCTTGATATATTTTATTATTATTATTATTCTTACTGTTATTTTTTATTACCAAAGAGAATATTGTGTTGCTTTTCCCAATAAAAATGACCTTTTGATTTTCATTCTAATGAAGTCTGACTTTTTGCACGGAAGAAGAAGAAGACACCGAAGTCAGTGGTGGTGTTGAAGTTAGGTCGTTAAGTAACTAGAAAGGAGAGTAGTGAATGCGAGTATATTAGTCGTACACTGGAAAAGTCTAAATAATGCAAAGAAACAAAAATAATAATCATAATAATAATTATTATTATTTTTCTTTTAATTCCTAGAGGAACATAGGGCTTCAGCCGTGCGTCTCCATTGCGTTCGGTTCTCTGATAGAGTCTTCACCTGGCTCCAAGTCTGCCCACACGTTTTCATCTCCTCTTCACATGACCTCCTCCAAGTCATCCTTGCACTGACAACCAACTCGCCGCTTCCCTTTTTGGTTCCACTCGAGTAATGGCTTGTCTAGTGATGTCAATTGATGGTTTCCTCAGAGTATGGCCAATCTAATCCATCTCCATTTCTTCCTGCCTATTTGTTTCACAATCGGTTCCTGGTTGGTTCGCTCATTGCCAGAGATCTCTGTTGCTGATCTTTTCTGGCCGGCCATCTGATCTTGAGTATTGAGCGAAGGCAGCTGTTGATGAAAGTCTGTAGTTTGTTTGAGATGTTCTTTATGACGCGCAGTGCAAGTCTCTGATCCGTATAGTAAGTAGCACTGACTTCACATTGGAGTTGAGAATGCGGATCTTATTTTTGATGCTGAGTGTTGTTGACCTCCACACAGACTTGAGAGTAGTGAAAGCTTGTCTTGCTTTTCCGATTCTTGCTTTGATATCCTCGTCAGTTCCCCCTGTAGTTGAAACTATGCTTCCCAGGTCGGTGGGTAAAGGAGGTTGTTTCTTTCAGGTTCCTCCCATTTATCCTGATCATTGTCTGTTGTTGTTGTTCTTGTCCAGGAATCTTCATCACCTGAAGTCCTATCTTTGGATGCTTGTTCTGCCAACTTGTTGCTTTTCACTTGCATATCTTCCAGTTTGTGGGAAATCAGACATATATCATCGGCGAAGTCCAGATCCTCCAAGTTTTTTGTGTGAGTCCATTTTATGCCTGTCTCCTAGTAGCCCGGCCCGCTGTTTGTCGCATAATAATAATAATCTACTTTTTTCCAAAAACAGTACTTATAATACAGAATGGAATTCTCAGCATTTCTCACAATATTGCATCTGATTTACTCAAAATATAAATAAAATTAAGAATTAAAACAAAATTGACCAGGGAAATTTGTCCACGTTTACAGTATAAAGTCAAAAATATTCAAAGCACAAATGAGAATAATAAATATAAAATTAATAACGGTGAGCTTGTTTCAAACAGTATTGTCGATTCAGTTTGGAAATGTTTTAGCATGTGATAGATTATTGGATCTAATGTTCTGTTGATATAGCATGGTGAGGAGAAAGGCGAAATTGGCAGTTATAATACAGCTTAAATGACGTTCACACTTATGAAAAATAAACAAATAAAAACAAAATATTTAGAGGATTATAAATATAAGAGGAACAATAACAATAAAGTTTGATACTGTAAGGGTGGAGGAGAATGGTTTATTTAGTAGTGCAAATAAGGTTAGTTAGTGAGTTCGTGCCTAACACTATTTTCCTCACACAAAGTACTTGCTAAATATGGTATAGTGGAGTTTTTATACTTAGACGTACGTCCATAAAGTCTTCTGAAAAGACTTCTTGTTTTGCCTGAGGAGGAGACACAAGGTTGGAGCTGCGGGGTGCTGCGGTGGATGCTCACATCCTGACAAGATTCTTTTATCAAATTTGTTGCATGACATCAAGTGCCTATCAATGACAATGTCTACGATATGGCCCAATGCGATTCCACCACTCGTCCTACTGATAGTCAGTCTTCAGAGTTGTACGAAGTATGACATAGTCTTTTTTAAGCAATCCAGGAAAGAATAAGTAGGGGAGAACAGTAAAGAAGAATAGGTAAAATACACGGCTTGACAAACTGTAAGAGGAGAAGTGGTTGAGTTATGCCTTGAGTGCCTTAACTTCTTAATGTAAAACGTCACACGAAATATTCTTCTACAAATCGCTAAGACATGGGAAGACCAGGATAAGTCAGAAGAAAGAATTAATCGGAGGTACTTAACTTCAAACTTGGTTTCTATATCAGAATCATCAATTTTGCAAGGGTCATAGGAAGAAGCATTGGAGTTAAATCACGTTACGAGCACAATTTATTTATTGCTGCTCAAAAATCAAGGTATCGATGGTAGTCGCACAATTTTTCAGCTTCGTTTATACACATGAGTAAAAAAATGGAACAGAGATATGTATGAATAAATTTGGAGGTCAATATAAAGTTCAATGGACATTTTGTATTGATTGTGTTCTCTGATCTGGTTGGTTTAATTACAGAGTTGTCATTGTCCCTCATCTAGATGGCATCTTCAGCTCACGCTTTAAAGTGAACTTGTTTCAATTCTCTACTAATGATGTAATTGTATCTCACCTTGACAACCATTGTTGTGATTGGTTGTTAATTTATGTCTCTATTGATCATATTTTTTATTGACTTGGAATTTGAGGCAAAGTTAAACTCTAGGCACCACTAACTACCAATCAGCGGTTGACCTTGAACGCACCAATCACGTGAAGGAGACACTTTTATGTATGAAATGCATATATATGTGAAAAGATGCATGAAAACTGTAGAAAAGTGTTACACAGGATACCTTTCTCTCACATGTGATAAAAGTAGCTCTCAGTTTTAGGTTGGAGTATCAACGGAGTATAATTTCATTGTGGGTACAATTTATTTTAATACTGTAATATTTACTGGGTAATAAATTGTGCTCGAAACGTGTTCATCAGTAAATATTACTGTATAACACTGTGACACTTTGTCAAAATAAATTTTACCCACAATGGAGTTATACTTTGCCGCCGCAGTGCACAATTTCTATTCTTATATCAACAGAGAAATTTAGCCACATTCTATGCATGTAATTATTTAGGTCTTTTAACCCTAACAATAACCCTAATCTTTCCTGAACCTAACCCCTTACGTGAAAATATCCCTAAACTAACTGTAATCTAACTCGAACCAACCCTAATGTCTCCTTTAAAGACCCTAACTTGTCCTTGGCCTAAAGGGTAAATTATTCCCTCCCAAACCTAAGCTGAAACTTGTGAGGTGTACCACTTTAATGGCATAACACTTCGATGAGCATATTTCATTGACGATTGATAGCATTATTTGCTAGTGAGCGTTTCAAGGTCATTAATGCGATCGAACTCCATTGATAGTTAGTGTTGCGTAAAGTTCAACCTGGTCGAATTTGAACTTCCTTGTCGTGTGATTTACTTTTTATTAGCTGGTAAATTTGGTCTATAATTATGTGTTTGTTAATCTCTAGCTGATTCATCTGAGTACCAGGCTTCTAGGAATTCCTAAGCATTTCCGTCTTTTCCTCTGTTTAAAATTTCTACTTTCTCCCAATCGAACTTGTGTGAGTTACTGTCTACAGGCATCCATATGAAAGAATACAACTTTTCGTGTCTTTTCACAGCTAATATGTACTCTTGGATTCGGATTCGAAAGGGGGATGCCCACTTTGACCGATGTAATGTTTACTGCAGTTCATACATGCAATTTATTTTGTAATCAAAACAAGATTTTGAGCGAACAGTTGTTTTCGATAACTTCTTCTTCAGGCTCTACAGTTATAAATCCATGAATAATAGAGTACATATAGCCAATAAAGGCAAATGAAAATGATATCAGAAACTGTACTGGAGTGTATGTGTAAGTTGAGATGATAGTCCATTAGTTAACATAATCAATCAAATGTGTATAGGATGTGTAGTCAGAAAAGGTGTGATGAAGTGTGAATCAACAGTTGGGTGATATAGTGCTGTTTTATAGTCAACAGGATACAAGTGTCATTGGGGTGAGAGAAATGCGATAACCACAAAATACATACAAACGCACATTAACAAAGGGGACAGTGTATGTGAGGGCTGACCGATAATGTCTAATGATAAAATAAAGAGGCTAAATTGTAAATTGTTATAAGATGTTACAGAATTGGTAGGCTTAGTATAAAATCACAAAGGTTGACAAAATTAAGGGTGACAATGAGGTGAAATAAACTGGGTGGAGAAATGGATAATAAAGACATGATATCACAGAATGATAATAATGGTAATAATTATACGGAAAATTATGATCCTGGTGACCTTATAGTGGGCCAGGGTAGACAGAGAGAGTGAATAAGTTTTTCCTGTACAAATAAGTCTGGTCTTTATCTATTAATCTCTAAAGCCTCAGCTATGGCTAGGAGGCGTAATCGTGTGCCTTTGGGGAGATTGTTCGGTACTCGATACACAACTGTAAAGGACTCTTCTACTTTGATGCTGTGTTCGCTATCCACTAGATGAGCCAGAATTGCACTATTTAATGACTTGGTCGCTCTTTTCCCAAGCCGGAAAGGAATATGTTCCCGAGCGCGTAAAGATAAATTCCTTTTTGTACGACCTATATAACTAGCTCCACAGGAGCAGTTGAATTTATATACACACATTGATGTCGCCATTGTAGGTAATCTTTCTTCGGATGAGTCTTTCGGTTTGCACAATATCGAATGAAGTGATTGGACTGACTGGCTTGTGTGTTATATCTATTTCAAATGGTTTTAATATTCTAGCTGTTATTTTAGAGATAGTTTTTATATGTGATAGGATGAATTTCATTATAGATAAGATTTTATTTTGAAAAATCACACAGTGGCGTTATACAGTAATATTAACTGATGACCACGTTTTGAGCACAATTTATCGCTGCTCATAATCATATCAAGTCACTCCCACAACGTTTTACTTCATTTATAGACATGAGTGGAATTGATTAGACATTTGAATAAAATGCCTTCCAATGACTGTGAGTTAAGTCAATTACATAGATCAAACTAGTACAATGGAGGGGATAGTCAGATTGTCGGAACATAAGAATTTGGTTAAGGTAAGAATAATTGACCCCACCCGCCAAGATAAGTAATTTAGTA